CGGGCGGCGCGATGCCCCCCACCGGCGGGCGGGACGCGGCCCCGGCCCGGCCCGCGGGGGCTCCGCCGCTGCCGCTGCCGGACCCCGGGGGATCGCTCAGTGGGGCTGCGCGCCCCCCGCTTGGAGCCGGAACCGCTATTCCGGCTCTCCCTCTCCATCCTTTTTTTTTTTTTTTTTTTTTTTTTTTAAATTAATTTTTTCTCTTCTACAGTGAACAAATTACTCGTTATGTCATCAGGGATGTTTATAATTTTGTCTGGTCCCCAGCCCGTGCCCTGCTCGAGGCGCGGAGGAGGCTCCGCACGGCGGGCATCACCAGGCGCACCGAACCGTCCCTTCCTTTCACGGGCGCCGGTCCTCTCTCAACGCAGGCGGGAGATAAGCCTCGTCTCACTGGATCTTCATCTGTGTCACAGCCTGCTGGAGCCTCTGTGTGCCTGGCTGCCATCCTACCACCCATCCAGTTATTCCCATTGTGCATTTGGCATGTATTTCTCATGCTTTCTTGTTCTCTCCAACTCTAATCCCATCCTTCAAATTGTTTACAGCCTCCTTCAGCTTCATTGCATCTGTCATTACTGAAAGCATGAAGGGAAATGGGTCCAAACCAGTTTCTTCAATAATTAAGTGCATTCTCACCAAGACACGGAGGTACACGTCTTTGAAAAGTTTAACATCAATGTCAAATGGGAATGGAAAGTGTAGTCCATATTCCAGCAAGGTCTCAAGATGACACCCAACTCCTTTATGATTTATTAATGACTGATTTGTACAGCTCAGGTTATGGCAAGAGTTCTTTAGACAGCAGAACTGAAGCTATTACTCTCTTTCTGTGTTTTCCTTTTCCACCTTGGAAATCATCCTACTAGTCCAAGTGTTCCAAAATACAAAACAAGTTTGAAATAGGTAAGTTTGCCACACTCTCCACCAAAGTGCTTTTGACTATTTATCCTCTCAGAATTCAACTGTTTAGCCAACAGCTGTGTATTCAGTGTGTAGTATCTGCACTGCCCCTGAAACTCAGCACTGCCAAAGAAACGGACAAACCTGTTTACAGAGAAATTGAATCATGGAAGCAATGGGTCAGAAATAACTCATTAATGTAGTAACAGAGAGAAAACACTATCCTGATTCCCAAAACAAACACTCCCAATAAATGCTTAGCTGGACTTTACTGCTGCTATCTAAACGGAAGGAGATGGAGAAAGTAGCAAGCACAGAGAGAAAATAGCCAAGATGAAAATATGTAGCTTACACAGAGTTGTTTGTATTAGTTGCAGGTATATGGCCTTCACAGCTAGGAAACTGAGGTTAGTAAATTCAAAATAGAGATCAAAAAACCACTTTATTCTGCTGGGACAGTTCAAAATGATGTGAAGAGAATTTAAAAAAGACATTCCTTGCCATGTTCTGCCAGTCTGTCCAGGCTTACCAACCATGATTGCAGTTGCTGTCCCACACCAGGGGCTCACTCCCAGCAGAACTGGATATTCTCTCAGCGCTATAAAGAGCCCAGAACGGGTTCCTGGGAACGGCTGTCCAGGCCAGGGGCCGGGTGTTGGGTAAGCAGTTTGCATAGCTGCTCTTCATCTGTCTGCCAAGGCAAACCAGAGAGATCTATACTAAAGCTACCAGTCATCTTCCATGTGCAACACAGAATTATAAACAATTGAAATTTCAGTTTTGTTTTCAGAAAGGAGCTGGACCTCCCCTCTGGGTGATGCTTCATATCCGGTATTTTGAACTCTTTCCTCAGGATACCTATGCTAAATTCAAAAACACTCATTGCAGGAGTGTGGGTCATTGATCTCAGCCATTCACAGCTGGAGCTCAGGAGCCAAATGTAATTATAAGCCACAGCAAAAAATAGATATCTGAGTCCAAAATATGCTATGATTTGACACAATTTGCATAAACCAGGATTTCAAACCTGCCATTAAGGACAGGAATTGGGGGCACTGAAAATTGCCAAGGAATCTGTTTGTAACGTATCCAGACCGACTACTTTAAGATGTAACTCCTGCATCAAATATTTGCTGGCAAGATTTTAAAAGACTTAATCTCTTATCTTGCACATCATCTTTTTGAAAAGATGGCATTTTTTTCAGAGCATACATCCCAGGGTGTTCCAAATAACCATGTATAGGTGATCCAACTGACACAGTCCGCATGCAGAATTTTATATTGAATTTTTATGCAATTTATGCAATTTTTTTTCAGCAGTTACAAAGCATCTGTCCTATCTTCTTTCTTACATCTGTGTTCCATTCCTATCTATGATCTCTTCAAGTGTGGCAGAGAAATTCCCTTCTCACACAGGACTTCCTCTTCTGCTGTCACACTGTACAATGAGCGAGCAGCGAGTTCTCTGCCAAGCCCACATTCTCACACCACAAGGACCAGGCCTAGAGATTTTAGCTGGAGAAAACAAACAGGGCTGGTTTCAGCCAGTACTGATGGAACAGTTAAGAACTCTGAAATGTAATGCAAGAGAAATGTAGGAAGAGAGACAGTCATGTACCATGCAGGTACACACAGAGTGTTAATATAACCCTGGGGACTGAGCTGTGTAAATAACACCCCTTGGATCTGGAAGCTGTGCAAAGACCAGCACCCAAGCCTCAGGCTGACTGGGAATTTGGTGGGAATTTTTTCCAGCATTGTGGTTTCTGTAAATGTTGCCATACTTAGGCCAACAGTCTAAAGCAATGCAAACTGCTTTGCACCAAGCTGGTTCCCAGACATCCCCTTCACTCAGTGCGAGGGACCCAAACAATCATCTGTTACGGAGTTTTCAAACAATAAGCTTTAATTGCCTTAATAGAAAAATAAGCACTGAAATATATATAAATGTGATTACATTAAAGTAATTCTGTAGTCTAACATACTAGAAATCAAAGCCCAGTCATATTTTTAATGATACAGAGTAGCAAGACTTAGGGTTTAGAAATTTTCCATAGAGAATACCGAAGTATCCAGTGTTGTTTAAGAAACCACAGTAAAGATGAGACAAACCTCCACGGTGCAATAAAAACTAAGTAAATCAATTTATTCTGTATACTATACAATGTGTAAGTTTGTAAAGAACAATTGACATTTTTATCACCTTAACATCTTGACTGGGTGTAAATATGTCCAACAAAACGTACTCCTGTGGCCTTTACACAAACACTGTCCTACTACATCAAGAACAATGAGAGGGAAGCCTTTGGTGTTACAGATTTGGGGACATATCTGTGAAGTTGTAATTAATCCACTTAACTATCTCAAATAAAATGTTGGTGCTATCTGCTATTACAAGCCTACATGAGTACTACTCTAACAACTAAATGCTGTCTATCTTTAAAGGCAAGATATGAAAGGGACTGCCAGTCTACAGTGTGGACAGGTTTTCTTTGAAAAAGGCAATTATCAAATGGTAAAACTCATATAATACATTATGTACATCAGTTTGGATAGCTGAGTTATCTTGCTGGAGTAAGCTGAAAGTAAGCATCAATCTGCAGACATGTTCCATTTACTGTTAAGTGACTACTGGACTTAAGTTTTATACAGTGTATAGAATCAAAATAGCTGTGCCTGCTGCTGAGGTCTGTCAGATGTGAAGGCTCATAATCAGTCACTGACCTAGTTAGTATTACAGTACTTCAAATATACACATGGATAATATATTCATAGCTGAATTTGTACTAATCTTAGGAACTGCAAGTCACTGAGTGAGCATCGGAAGAGCTTGTGTTGTCCAACCAGCAGGACAAGCTGAGTTGTAGCTGAGTGGAATGTTTCAATTTAAATGGCTATCTTTTTAAACCTTCCCAAACATCAAGAGAACTCACCTTAGGGAAGCTACAGAATAGTGGCACCAGACAATACAGAGCAAGTCACCTTAAGCTGTTCAACATTTGTTTCAGGCCCAATCCTATCATTAAGTTTCAATTTCATTTATACATAGAAAAATAAAGAGGGATTTTCACATTAGAACAAACATTTATAAAAAGCACCTTGCTTCAGTATTTCCAGTTTCCTTGTTATTCTTCCGGCCTATTTACTTAAAGAAGTCAAGTAGGTCCATTTCTTCAAACTGTTCTGCAAAAACCACAAATTATTTGTAATACTAGTGGCGGATAAGGAATAAGGACAGGCTTGACAAAGCCCATCGCACTACTGAAAAAGGGCTATACAGACTTGAAAAGAATCAGGTTAGCAATTTTGAAATTCTCTGGAATTGCTTCTCTGAAACAAAAACATTAGACACCATATGTTCTGATCAAAACAGGACCAAATAAAGACTATTCAATTTTCTCTTGACCATTTTGTTTGCCTCTAGAAGAGAGCACTGCTGAAAATATGGGCCAGCATTGGTTTTGACTCGCAGTCTTTTATACCCCAAGACCTTTCTGAATACGTCAGCACAAAGTACAAGCTTCTAAAAACATGCATCTTTAAGTGTTCTCTCCTATAATACTCACATCAGTGCTTTGTTTCTAAAAGGCTGTTTCCAAACTACTTTTTAAAGAAAACGACATTCAGTAAACTGATCTTTTTAAAGAGTTTCTT